GCACAGTTCTACTCTGACACACACGGGGACACCATGAGTGGGATCTACTTATGGAAAATCACCCACTGAGAATCCTGTGGGGCACAGTTCTACTCCGACACACACAAGGGTGCCATGCGTCACAACTGACTCCTTCTGAAGTCTGATTGCCCTTTGCAGTTATCTGAGGAGCTTTAGGAAGTACTGAGGTTGGGATCCCTGCCCCAGAGATTCAGGCGTAACCAGTCCAGGTACAGCCTGGACCCTGAGGAGTCTTAATGCTTCCTGGTGACCACAGTGAACAGCCATGGTGGGCACCCATTGCATAGATGGAGCATATCACATGTCCCTTGGGGAGCTTTAAAATATGCAATGCTGAGACTTCACCCCAAGATTCCAATCTGAGTATTCTGCAGTGAGACATTGGCATCTCTGACTTCAAAACACCCCAGACAACTCTGAGCTTAGGCCCTGAGATCCCAACCAGTCTAATGATATAACTGAGCCTGGATCCTGAAATCCAATCCTGTCTAATGATGAGCCTAAGCCTGGATCCTGAAATCCAGTCCTATCTAATGATGAGCCTGAGCCTGGATCCTGAGAGCCCATCCTGTCTAATGATGAGCCTGAGCCTGGATCCTGAGAGCCCATCCTGCCTAATGATGTACCTAACAGAGCCTGGGCCCCCAAGATCTTGTCATATCTAATGATATAACTGAGCCTGCTTCCTGAGGTCTTGTCCTATCTAATGAGGTAGCTAAACCAGGGCCCTGAGACCCCATCCTGTCTAATGATGCATGATGTAGCTGAGCCTGGGCCCCGAGATCCTGTCCTATCTAACGATATAGTTGAGCTTGGATCCCGAGATCCTGTCCCATCTAATGAAGTAGCTAAGATAGGGCCCTGAGAGCCCATCTTGTCTAGTGATATACGTAGCTGAGCCTGCACCCTGAGACCCTGTCCTAGCCAATGATGTAACTGAGCCTGGATCCTGAGAGCCCATCCTGTCTAATGTTGTAACTGAGCCTGAATCCTGAGAGTCCATCCTGTCTAATGATTTAACTGAGCCTGAATCCTGAGATTCCATCCTGTCTAATGATTTAACTGAGCCTGAATCCTGAGATTCCATCCTGTCTAATGATTTAACTGAGCCTGAATCCTGAGATTCCATCCTGTCTAATGATGTAACTGAGCCTGTATCCTGAGATCTCATCCTGTCTAATGTTGTAACTGAGTCTGGTTCCTGAGATCCCATCCTATCTAACTATGTAACTGAGCCTTGATCCTGAGCTCTTGCCCTATCTAATGAGGTAGCTAGGCAAGGCCCTGAGATCTCATCCTGTTTAATTTAGGATGTCCATCTATAAAAGGTGGTCATGATAACCCATCCGGATGGTCAAATGGTGAATATGCTCAGCTGCTAACCAAAAGATTAGCAATTGGGGTCCACCCGGAGGCATCTTAGAAGAAAGCGTGGTGATCTTCTTCTGGGAAATCTACCATTGAAAACACCACGGACCACAGTTCTACCCTGACACACATGGGGTCTCCGTGAGTCAGAATCGACTTTACAGCAGCTAGTTTATTGGTATCAGAGATTCAATTTCCTCCCCGTGCTGTATTAGGGGTGGTTACAGTCAGCAGGCCTGGTTTGGCGCTGTGGGTTAATGCGCCAGACTGCAAAGCCGTTTGAACTGCAAGGTCGGCGGTTCAAGCTCACCAGCTGCTCCTCAGAAACCCTATTGAGGGTCGCTATGGGTCGACTCAACAGCAATTCACAACAAAACAGTCAGGACGGCCCAAACATTTCTTCCCACCCTCACCCTGATGGTTAACCTGCCTTGTGGCACTAGACCGCAACATTGGTGTGAACTGCAACATCAGCAGTTCAAACTCACCAGCTGCTCCTCAGAAACCCCTCTACAGGGTTGCTATGGGTCAGAACCTAGTCAACAACACTTACCAACCCATCACCCACGCCTGGCAACCCGTGCTTATCCTCATGCGCCCTCTAGTGGTCACCAGTCACCCCCGTTGAATTGAAGGAAACATAAACAAACCCATGCGCTTAAGCATATTCCGACTCACAGAGACTGTAGGAATGCACAGAACTGCCCATAGGGTTTTCCAGACCCTCATCTTCATGGAAACAGACTGCCACGTCTTTCTTCTTTGGAGCAGCTGTGGGGGTTCCAACCAGCCAACCATTCTGTTAGCAGCAGAGTGCTTTAACCACGATGCCACCAGGGTGCCTTGAGTTGGAGGAAGAACTGTTCAAAGTGGCCGTCAGCTGAGCTAGCCTGGGTTGTCATTACCTGGACACTCATTGTTGTACCCAACCAAGCAGCTCAGCAAACCAAGTGACCGTCAGACCAGGCCGGGCAGTGGGGACGCGGGCCAACAGGCGTGGCCCCGCCTTCAACGGTTCTCAGTTCATTCCCTTCACGTGAGGTCCTCCAGGACAGATGCATGCGGGTCAGGGGACAGCTGCAGGAAGGTGTGGGGTACTGCCAGTTCTCCAGAGGTCAGCTTTACCCTGGAGCAGCTGGAAAGCCTGCAGGACACAGCCTCGCTGACACTCAGACACTGACCGCGACAGTGGAGGTATCGCTTCTTAGTCCTTTCCCACTGGCTCGGGGTCGAGCGTCAGGTTGCTGACTGCAAACTCGCGGGTTCAGATCCACCAGCCGCTCAGCAGAAGAAAGATGAGGCGGTCTACTCTCTGAACAGTCTGAGAAACCCTCTGTAGAGTTGTTCTGTGTCGGAATTGATGTGATGGAAGTGGGTTTTGGGTTTGGGTTTCCAGCAGCCAAAACTAGGGGAGAAAAACCAAGCCAACCCTATTGCTGTCAGACTGATTCCGGCTCAAGTCCACCCCTGACGTTACAGAGTCAATGGCTCCATAGACTTTCCTCACCTGTGATCCCTACAGCACAGCCCAGACCTTTATTCCATGGTGCCGCTGGGTGGGCTTGAACTGCCAATCCTTTGGTTACTGTTGTTGTTATTAAGTGCTGTCGAATCGATTCCGACCCATAGTGACGTTTTCTGAGGCTGTCAATCTTTACAGGAGCAAAAAACCTCATCTTTCTCCCGCGGAACAGCTGGTAGTTTCGAACTGCTGACCTTAAGGTTCACAGCCCGATTGGTAACCACTACACTACCAGAGCTCCTTTGGTTACTAGTTTAGCACAGATTGGTGACGCCACTGAATGGGGATGTGGTTATGTGCCGTGGAGTCAGTTCCAACTCATAGCGACCCTGTACAGGCTGTAAATCTTTACGGGAGCAGAAAGCCTCATCTTTCCCCTGTGGAGCAGCTGGTAGTTTCGAACTGCTGACCGGGAGGTTCGCAGCCCAATTCGTAACCACTACGCAGAATGGGGAAGAGATGATTATAAAAGATGATTATCTTCTTGGACAATGTGCAGTGATGGAATTTCTTCCCTGTCAGCATCCTCTAGGGAGCACTCCGTATGTACTGGGTGCTGTGTGGTCTTGTCTAGTGTGAGCACCCTGTGTCCCGGGAGAGAGCAGTCCTCTGGGGAGTACTCATCAGGTGTTGGATGCTGGGTGATGTTGTCTAGTGTGAGCACCCTGTGTCCCGGGAGAGAGCAGTCCTCTGGGGAGCACTCACCAGGTGTTGGATGCTGTGTGGTGTTGTCTAGTGTGAGCACCCTGTGTCCCGGGAGAGAGCAGTCCTCTGGGGAGCACTCACCAGGTGTTGGATGCTGGGCGGTGTTGTGCAGTGTGAGCCCCCTGTGTATCCAGAAGGGAAGTCTCTGTGAATTTGTCTGCTCTGCTCAGAGGATGTGTCTCATCCAGTTTGGAGCCCTCTGTGGACTTCAGGGCCATGCATTCACCAGGCCCAGGACCCATGTGCACACCCGGAGCTCCTGCTCACTCTGCCTGTGCCTCTCCCCCAGGACACCCTGGAGAGGACCCTCGCCCGGGAGCATATGGCTAGAATGATCGAGTCCCTCAAGCTGCAGATCCAGGAGGAAACTAAATGCCGTCTGGCTGCCATCTCCCGCAGCCTGGAGCAGCTGACCATGGAGGGGAAGCTGTCTGGGCAGCAGAGGGAGGAGCTGCTGACCCAGCAACATAAGGCCTTCTGGGAGGAAGCCGAACACTTCAGCAGGGGTAAGAGGGACATGGATCTTTTGGTGTCTCCAGTGCTGCAGAGACGTGGGGGCAACCTCTTCATACTGACCATGAGACAGCACCCATGCTATGCTTCCATGTCAGCTGGGGACAGTGAGCCTCCTGGGCCCCATCACAAAGCCCCACACAATGGGTGCCTTTAAGGGACTCAAATGTATTATCTCACATTCTGAAGGCTGGGGGCGAGATTCGGGGGTCAGCAGGGCTCGGCACTCTTCTCTCTTCCCTGAGTGCTCATGGGAAAGACTCTTGTCTCTTTCTGCTTCTGTGGCCCTGGACGGTTTCTTTTGCTTCGTTGCTTATAAGTGTTCCTTCAGGGCTTAAAAATGGTATCTTCATGGTTTATAGACGTACCTTCGTGGCTTATCGGCGTTCATTCACAGCTTATAGGCACATTCCTTCACTGCTTCCAGACGTTTCTTCATGGCTTATAGATGTTCCTTCATAACTTACAGACGTTTCTTTATGACTTACAGACGTTCCTTCATGACTTACAGATGTCCCTTCATGGTTTTTAGATGTTCCTTCATGACTTAACAGATGTTCCTTCATGGCTTATAGACATTCCTTCATGACTTACAGATGTTCCTTCATGGATTATACACATTTCTTATAGATATACCTTAGGCTTATTGATGTACCTTCATGACTTATAGACCTTCCTTCAGTATTTACAGATGTTCCTTCATGGCTTATAGATGTAACTTCATGACTTATAGATGTTCCTTCATGACTTACAGATGTTTCTTCATGTTTTATAGACCTACCTTCATATCCTATAGACATTCCTTTGTGGCTTACAGACGTTCCTTCATTTCTTATAGATATACTTTAGCTTATAGATGTGTCTTCATGACTTACAGACGTTCCTTCATGGTTACAGACATTCCTTCATGACTTACAAATGTTTCTTCATGGCTTTTAGACATTCCTTCATGACTTACAGATGTTCCTTCATGGTTACAGACATTCCTTCATGACTTACAGATGTTCCTTCATGACTTACAGATGTTCCTTCATGGCTTATGGACGTTCCTTCATGATTAGACGTTCCTTCATGGGTGTCTGTCTTCTTCTATGTGTCTTTCTGGATCGCGTCTGCTCTTTTCATAAGTTGCCACATGGATAGGATTTGATTGAGGTCCCACCTTGCTCCAGTGCTGTTGCTGTTGGGGGCCATTGAGTCCATTCCAACTTGTACTGAGTCTATGCTCTAAAGACCGAAGCACCGCCCAGCCCGACGCCATGCTCACAGTTGTTACGCTGGAGCCCTTGTGGCAGCCACTGAGCCAATCCACCTCATTGGGGGTCTTCCTCTTTTTCAAGAACCCTCCACTTTACCAAACATGATATCCTTCTGCAGGGACTGGCCCCTCTTGATAATGTGTCCTAAGTATGAGAGGTTAAATCTCGCCATCTTGGCTTCTAAGGAACACTTTGGTTATACTTTTTCCAACACAGACATGTTTGTTCTTCTGGCCGTCCAGCTTTTCACAGGCCTGTGTAGTGACTGAAAGACACTGACTTGGGTCAGGTGCACTGTAGGACACATAGGGAAGAAATACCCCTACCTCCAGATGGCACAACCACAGGTACACGGGGTAGGACTCCACAGTGCCATTCTTTGTGGTTGTTTATCTTCCACTCAAGTCTAGAATGCTCTGTCTGTCCCCCCGCCCTCTCATGTCACCGAACCACCTAGATCATCCTTCACATTCTCCTTGGTCCAAAGCCAGCAGCCTCTTCTCCTCTTCTCAAGTACTATTCTTCCTTAATAATATCCTGGCCACATCAGCAGGCCGCTGTGCACAGCAACTGGCTAAAATCACTTGTGAGACCCTGAGCCCAAGACTCAGGAGAGGTGGGGTCTGGGGCTTTAGGGGGCCAGGGGTCCCCACACCCAGGTGAATCACCAGACTGAAAGAACAGCGGAATGTGCCCCTCATCTGCACTGGCAGAGAGGTCCCTGGGAGCCTTACTGTGAGGGAGACCATGATGCTGACTGCTTTCTTCCATGCAGACTTCATCCAGCAGGGCAGAGACCTTGTCAGGGCGTCGCTGGCGCACCAGACGCAAGCAGTGGGCAGGCTGGCGCTGACTGATGACGAGGAACAGAGAGGCTTCCTGGCCGAGGCTCAGCCGGCCGCGGACCAGGAGGGCTTCCTCAAGGTGACCTGCCCGTGTTTGAGGGTACAGCCCTGTGGGAGTGCTGGGCGGTGGCTTTGTCCCCTCTCCCTGAGAGGGAAGTGGGAGGCCTTGGCGTCCATCAGACGTGACATCAATGCCTGACCTCCCACATGCCAGCTGAGTGACCTGTGTCCCCACTGATCTGTGATCTGCACTTAGATGAGGAAGCGCACCTAGAGGTGACCCCAGGGAGACCGAGCCTTGCCAGTGTCCCTCACACTCCTGCTTCTGGCCAGCCTGGGAGGTGGTAGGTGGGGCATGAAACCCACAGGATACCTGTCACTTAGGGTCATTCTGGTTGTGATGAGCAGCCAGAGGACACAGGTGTGCGTTTCTGTGAGTTTCGCAGGAGTGCCCCAGAGGTAGTCAGTGTGCAGTGGCACCAGAGGGGACCCAGTGTAGGGCAGGCCCCTGCACACAGGGACGGTCCTCAGCTCTGAACCTGGCACTGAGTGAGCCACACTGGGAGGTAGCTTTGACTGGGATAGAGACAAGGGGACCCGCAGAACAGGAAGCCACGAGGAGCCAGCAGTCTCTTCCTGTTCCATGTGTTTTCCCTGGTAACTAACGGGAGCTGGGACAAGAGGGTGAGGACTGCTTACTCATGGCCACCTTGCGCAGCAGTGCAGTGTTTGGGTTCTGAGGTTTGGATGCTGACAGCTGCCACCTAACTGAGAGGCCCTGAGCCGGTGGTGTTGCCCTTCCCCCCCACCTCTCACATCCTCATCTGTGAAATGGGATTGGTGGTACCTCCCTTGGGGGGCTGTTCAGATTCTGTGAGAATCTGTTCAGACCGCATGTGCTGGCTGCCTGTCTGTGTCTGTCTGTGATGCTTGTCACCATTCATCTCTGCTCCACCTGGGACATGTCTGAGTCCAGGTTCAACCAAAGGAGGGGACCCCGAGCCCAGAGAATGAGCCTTTCAGCTGCCCCTCCCCACCCAGGGAGCCTCCTTCCTGGGCCCACACCTAGAGGGCAGTTGTGGGGTTTGTGCTAAAGAGCCAGGATTGGAAGACAAGCCCTCACAGCTCTCTTGGTTAGCCATGGCTCTGGGCCCCTCTCTTTGCATGTCATGTGGCTCAGCGAAACTCCCAGGACAGAGAAGGTAACTGCCATTTCTGTGCTCCAGGAACTCAGTACAGGCCAGGCACACACCGGTGTGAGGAGACCATGGATGCAGGAAGGAAGGGTTAAATGAATGGATGAGTAAGTGAATGAATGAACAGATGAATGAATGAATGAACAAATGATTAGTTGGATGGATGAATGAGCAGATGAATAGATGGATAAATGAGCCAGTGAATGCATAGAACAAATGGATAGATGGATGGGTGAATAAATGGGAAAATGAACGGATGGATATGTAGATAGATGCATGAATGAATGAACAGATTCATGAGCAAATGAATAAGGAAGGACTAAACAAATTAATAGACAAAAAAATGATGGAATGAATAATAGAATGAACACACCAGATGGATGGATGGATGGATGGATGGAAGAACGGATGGGTGGGTAGATGGATGGATGGATGGATGGTCAAGGTTCCTGGGCCCGGCTTGACCAGTCACCTGATGTAGGCTCGGCCACAACTGACAGCCGTGAAAACGGCATGATAGCCGGTGGCCTGCTTCCCTGTGTATAGTCCAGGGCTGAGCACCCTGAGTGCCTGACAGGTAGGGTCAGGAGAAAGCCCAGCGTGGTCCAGCTCTGATTCCACTCACAGGCCTTTCACGGGGTCCTGGAGCGGCAGAGGCTGACGCGGAACCACCTGGAGGACGAGGAGGACGTCAAAACCACTGAGGCCATGGCTGCGCTGTGCCAGGTAGGAGCCTCCAAGATCCCAGTTCAGGCCAGCCCCAGAGCTGTCTGGCCATGTGACCACAGGCAGGTCATGTCCCGTCAGTGGTCCTCCCTGTCCGTGCTGGAACATGATCACCTGTGAGGTCCCATCCGTTTCTGGGGTGCTCTGCATGCTCCCCTCAAACCCCCGTCTTAGCTCCCTGGTGCTGCCGTAACAGAAATGGCACAAAGGAGGGCTTTGAAGAGCAGATCTGTATCGTCTCGCAGCCTGGGAAAAGCCCAAGCCGATGCCGTTTCTGTCTTGTCCTGTCCCCTGGTCTCTGGACTCAGTGACGATCCTTGGGGTTCGTTTGCTTGTTAATGGGTCCTCACAGGCGTCTGTCTTCCGTCCGGCTGTGTGTCTATCTTTTCTGCTCTTTCTGTAACTCAAAGGGGTTTAGGACCCATCAACATAACAAGGAAAACCTTGTTACAGACAGGATCTAACGCTGGGTAGAGGGGCCAGAACTTCAGTACATATGGTGAGGAACACAATAATTCAGTCCATAATGTCTAAAACTCAGGCCTGTGTTTGTGCATCAGAGAAGAGGGGAAGGCATGGGCAGGCGTGTGTAACCCATGCAGCTCCAGGGTGGGTATTCCTGGGCTACTTGGAGCTCCGTCACTCACAGAGGACCCTCATGTGGTATGTGTCTCCCTACTTCCACCCCCACCCCAATCCCCTCCCCCGTGTGTGCCTTTTTGCTCTTTTTATCACTCTGGAGTGATCTAATTAATACAACAAAATAAAAACCCTGTTTCCAAACAGGGTCATACAGGGGGGCTTCAAAATGTTGTTGGAAAAATTCCATTTTCTTTCAAATACACTTTTCTACAAACTTTTTGAAGTTTGCCTTGTGTTCACACAGAACTTAAAACCCACTGGCGTGGAGTTGATTCCGACTCATCACGATTCTACACAGGATTTCCAAGATTAGAAATCTTTATGGGAGGAGACAGCCTCTTCTTTCTCCTGATTTTCATGATTCCAACACATCTTTTGGGGAGTAGACAATTCAATCCGTAGCCGATGGTGCCTGGTCTTCCAAAGCATGTGAGCCGGGGTGGATCGTAGCACCATCTGTGGGCTGTACAAATCACTGGCCTGAGTGTGAGGCAGGAGGGGCAGCGTTGAGATCAGTGAGGGGCTGTGGAAATCACCAAAATGTGACGGACGTCTTTGGCATGGTCCTTGAGAGGTGACGCCAGAGGTTCCTGGCATGTGAGGCAGCAGGGCGGACTTGGAACTGCGTCGGCGCGGGGCATTTCTCAGGAGGTGTGGGTTCCTCTGTAAAATCTTCCCATTTGGCCAGGGCTGTGCCCTTTCGGGCAGTGTGTGGTAGAGGGACTGAGGGAAAATCATGACCTTTAACAACCCGCCATATGGTTCTGGCCCTCAGGAGCTGTACCGCAACACCATTGGAACTTTCCAGAAACTCGTGGACAGCCTGTTCCTGCAGACGCTCCGTGGCGTGGCCGGCCTCTCACAGTCTGAGTGTGAATACCTGAGACGGGAGGTCCAGGGGGACACTGCCCAGCAGCTGGAGAAGTCAGACCACTTCCGGAAACAGCAGTGGAAACTCTTCCAGGAAGCCCAGGAGCAAGAGAAGCAGGTACGGGCACTTGGGGAACGTCTGAAGAGTCATGAGCTGTTGTCAAGTTGGTTCTGACTCATAGTGTTAGTGGTGGTGGTGATGTGCCGTGGAGTCGGTTCCGACTCATAGCAACCCTGTACAGGGTTTCCGAGGCTGTAAATCTTTACGGGAGCAGAAAGCCTCGTCTTTCTCCTACAGAACAGCTGGTAGTTTCGAACTGCTAACCTTGTGGTTCACAGCCCAATTCATAACCACTACGCTACCAGAGCGCCTTTGTATATATAAGATTTCTGAGAAATGGCTGGTAAGTGAACCACCAACCTAGCGCCATCCTACAGTGCTACACCAGGACTCCTGTGAGAGTCCCTTTATTGGACATCTTGCAGTTCCCATTCTGGGCAGTTTGCAGATATTACTGATGGCCAACTTTGATGGCAGTCCATCAAGAGGCAAGGTGGGAGACCTGAGCCCTCATCACCCAGGACGGAAAGTCGGTACACAACGCCTAAAGTTGCTCGGCCAAGAAAGAGCATCAGCGAAGTCTATTGGTAGTTATCAGAGGTGGGTGTAGAGAAGGGGTCAGTGCTTGGAAAATTTGGAAATGGGAAGTGCTGGTCAGACGACAAGTTGAACATAATGTCACTCCATCGTACAAGTACGTGTAAAAGCTATGGGGTTAGCACACTCATGTGATATATACAAGTGTATACTGTTGTTCATAGCAGTGAAGTCGATTCCAGATCAAGGTACCCCCTGTATGCAGAGTGGAACTGTCCGCTACAGGATTTTCCAGACTGGGACTTTATGGAAGCAGATTGTTGGGCTTGGACCTCTTCTGAGGTACCTCTGGGTATATTTGAACCAACAACCGTTTAGCTGAGAGTCAAATGCTGAGACTCTGGAACCACTGAGGGACTCCATTACTCTGTGTGTGTGTGTGTGTGTGTATTCACTACAGCAGACAAAAAGAAAGAAGGATCCACAAAGCATGTTATTTACAGAGATGGATGCAATCGTCGACAAGATGGGGACCAACATAGATAGTCGCCGTTTATGTTGTTGAAAATTGGTATTGTTGAAATTCTATTACACAGTTTCTAATACCATTTCTATAACCAAGGCCATAGTTTCCAACTAGGAGTCCTTCCTCTTGGTTTCCACCTTTCACATTCCAATCACCAGTAATATCAGTGCAATTATCCTGATGGCATGCTTGATCAATATCAGGCTGAAGAAGTTGGTAGAATTCTGAATTCTTCAATTTCTTCACCACTGGCTTTGGTGGTTGGTGTGTAAGGTGGAATAGTAGTGGTATTAACTGGTCTACCTTGTAGGCGTATGGATATTATCCTACCACAGACAGCGTACTTCAAGATAGATCTTGAAATGTTATCTTTGATAGCGAATTCAATGCCATTCCTCTTCAATTTGTCATTCCTGGAATAGTAAACCATGTGATTGTCTGACTCGAAATGGCCAATATCAGTCCATTTCCACTCACTAATGCCTAGACGTGTCCTCTTTTTTATACGTCCCATTTCATTTTTGGCCACTTCCAATTTTCCTAGATTGATACTTCCTGTTTTCCATGTTCCGCTTGTAAATGGATGTTTGTGGCAGTTTCTTCTTACTTTGAGTTTGTAGCAGTTACTCCTTACCATCAGCAAGTGAAGGTCCCGAAAGCTTTATACCACACATATCATTGTGGTCAACTCAACTTTGAGGAGGCAGCTGGGCCCCAGTGGTATTTCGATGCCTTCCAGCATGAGCAGCTCATCTTCTGGCACTAAATCAGACAGTGTATCACTGCCATTCATAAGGTTTTCGGGGGCTAATCCCTCAGAAGTTGACTGACTTCCTTCTTTCTAGTCTTAGTCTGAAAGCTCCGCTGAAACCTTTCCAACTTAGGTGACCAGTGGCCTGGCTTCCACATCACAGCAACACACAAGCCACCACAGTGTGACATACTAACAGATTTGTGGGGCAGGGCTTACCAGTGATGGGCAAAATTACAGCAATTAAATTCAGATGGTACCATCAGTTGTTGTAACTGCTGTCCGGAAGTTGTGCACCTGGAGAATGTTGAATTGGCAGAAAACTGTGTGGTTGATACATTTACAGTGACAACAACAGCCGCAAAAGAGTAGCTGCATGGCTGCCCAAACCAGTAGGTTCCCTACCCACCAGGAAGACCTAGAGATAAGATAGGATCTTCTTTAGAATAAAGACTCCGGGTGTCTAAGAATAAATATGACCAAAATGCACACACGCTCAACAGAGAAGACTATAAAGTCTCCCTAAGAGCATAAAGAATCATTCGAATAGAGAGAAATACCATGTTCTTTTTTTATTTTACTGTGAACTGAGTGATAGTTTACATGGGAGAACATCAACTTTACACCATTGTTTCATTGCAATGATTACAATCTTCATGCATCATCATTCAACAGTATTTGCTTCCTTCCATTGCCTCTGTTTTTGTTTTTGTTTTTTAAGGGAGTAGGATTTATGTAGAAACACTCAGGAATATATAATCATTTAAACAACCAAAGGGCACACTGTGCAAGTCTGCCCCCTGGCTGCCAGCTCTCAGTCCCTCTCTTTCCATGAGTCTCAAGTCCTCAGCTGCTCCCTCTCTCCATATCCCCATCTCTGCCTCCATCTCTGGTGTCGCTGCTTCTCTGGATAAGGTCTCACATTCTGCTTGTGCTCGTCTCCCTTGATGGCCCTAGGGTCCTTTGTTTCTGGACTGTAAGATTAACTACTCCCCTGTTTTTGTTACAAATGATAACAATTACTCACTATTGAATCATACGACTCTTATCCCCATCTTTTTACCAGACCTGTCTAGACAAGATGAAAACTATTCAGTGGGGACTCTACGCTGCCCCACACACTCTTAAACTAAATTCCCTTTTGAAACCTTGTCAGCCAGTCACTTTGTGCCTTTTATTTGTTGTTGTTAAGTGCCGTCGAGTCGGTTCCAACCCATAGCCCCCCTGTATAGGGTTTCCGAGGAACAGCTGGTGAGCTTGAACCACCGACCTTGGCTTTTATAGCCCTTTGTTTTAGGTAACCAGTGTCTAAGTTGCCCATCCCTGTCTACCCTGTATAAAAATACCATGTTCTTGATGAGAACATTCAGTTTTGAAAAGATGGTAACCCTCTCCAAAGGTGTAAATTCAATCTAATTACAATAAAATTTGGGAAGACTTTTACCCTAAAAGTCCTATGAAAGGAAAGACAACCAAGAATGGTGAAGACATTTTGAACAAGAGAAAAGGGAAACTTGCCTTAGCAGCCGGGAGTCTTGTAATAAGGAACCCTGGTGTGGCGCTGTGGGACGAAGCATGGGACCACAAGGTCGGTTTGAACTGCAATGCGCAAACTCACCAGGAGCTCCTTGGAAACCCTATACAGGGTCGCTATGAGTTGGAACCGACTCAACGGCACTTAACAACAACAGTAACTGTGGGTAAAGATCAGTGGAATGAAACAGATGTGTGGTGTACAGGAACTGTGTGAGACAGAGGGTGGCATTAATGCCATTAGAAATGGAGTCCTGGTGTGGTGCTGTAGGATAAGCACTGGACTGCGAGCAGCAAGGTCGGCCATTCAAACCCACCAGCCGCTCCTCAGACGCCCTATCCAGAGTTACTATGAGTTGAAGTCAACTCAATGCCACTTAACAGCATCAACATCAACAGAAACAACAAAAGATACGTCATTCAGTGACTTGTGTTGGGACATTTAATTACCTCGAGAAAACAGGATCTCTGCCGCACTCCATAGACAATATATTTTAGATACCTTCAGACCTAAATGTGAATGGCAAATTTGTTTTAATGTTTAAAAGAAGACAGAGGAATAATTGTTGAATGGGAGTATATAGCGTTGTGTATTTTTTCACTGAAAAGAAAAATATCTAGACTAAATAAATGCATCGAGACAAAAATCTATTTGTGGTTTACTAGTAACTGGTGAGAGAGGGAAGTGGAGTTATTGTATAAAAGACACTGGATTTCTTCTCAGAGTGATGAAAAGTATTTGAAAATGCATGGTAGTGCAATTTCACAGCTTGGTAAACATAATGAATATCACTGAATTGTACTCAAATGCTTAAAAAATGGCTAGAATGATGAATGTTTTGTTATACATTTTTGTCACGATATAATTTTTTAAGTTAAAAACTATATGTAAGAGAAAATGATCATGAAATTAGGATAGGAAAGGAATTTGGAAAATAATTTCATGAAATCAGGATAAGAAAAAAGTTTGTTTTTTGTTTTTTTTAAGAGAAAAGGGCTCAATGTGGCAGAGGAAAGATGAAGGTAGAGGGAGACATAGCAGGACGCAATGGTCGAAGTGACGAGACGTGATAATATTGTTAACTGATGGTACATGAAGGGGGTGGAGTCATTGTAATGAAACAAAGTATGTGATTTGCTAAATGCAAAACTGATGATCTGCTATGTAAACCTTTACTTAATTCACTATAAAAGGTTTTTTTAGAAGAAAGATCCAGTATTTCAGGGACCCTGAGCTTCTGTTAAGGATGAGGGAAAATTTGGATACAGGTAAAAGTAATGGTTGAATTCCATAATGAACGTAAGTTAATGTCACTGAACTTCGTATAAAGAATGTTAACATGGCATATGTTTTACTACATATATATCTACTACAATAAGAAATCTTTTTTAAATAAAGAGCAAAGAGATAGCAAAATCCAGCAAAGCAGTAGTTGGTAAAATGAGCTTCAGTGGGTTTACCACGTGTGCCCTCTGTCCCTGGTGTGTAGCTGTGGATGGAGGAACAGACACTGTTCAGCATGCTGCAGATTTACCTGCAGGAGGATCACCAGAGCATCATCCACGGGGTCTTGGACCGACTCAGCGGCTTCAGTGAGGAGTGAGTATAGCTGTCTGGGGATCCGGCATGATTCTCCATTCAAATCTTGGCGTCCTGATCTATATATGTCAACTTGCACCCTCCTTCCTCATAGTATGGTTTTTGGATTTTTGTGTTTTTTTTTTAAGTTTTTCTTGTGAATCGAGTGATAGTTTTTACATGGAAGAACATTGGTTTTACACTCATCGTTGCATTGCAATGATTACAATCTCCTCTGTGCATCATCATTCAACAGTATTTGCTTCTGTTCCCTCTGGTTTTGGGGGGTGTTTATTTTTTTGGATGTACATAAAAATACTTAGGAATATATAGTCATTTAAACAACCAAAGAGCAAGTCTGCCTCCTGGCCACCAGCACACAGCCTATCTCTTTCCATGAGTCTAGAGTCCTCAGCTTTTCTATCTCTCCATGTCCTTGTCTCTGCCTCCATCTCTGGTGTCACTGCTTCTCTGGATAGGGTACCACATTCCACTCATGCTCTTCTCCCTTGATGGCCCTACAGTCCTCTGTTTCTGGATTGTAAGATGAACTATTCCCCCTTTATGTTACAAAACTTCTACCTTTCCAGCTCACTGTGTGGTTTTAAATGGGAATGCTTAGCAGAGCAGGACTCCTGGTGTGGCACTGTAGGATCAGTACTGGACTAAGAACCACAAGTTCAGCGGTTCAAACTCACTAGCCGCTCCTTGGAAACCCTCTATAGGGTTGCTATGAGTTGGAACCGACTGGACAGCATTTAACAACAGCAACAATGGACTTGGAGTAGAAACCCCATAGTTGAAAGCTCACATGTGGGGTCAGACTTTATCTGGGCCAACTCTTTCCATATCTGTTAGCATTGATTTCTTCGTCTATGAAACAGGGGTATTAATACCTTCCTCCAGTTTCACCCCACTCCATGTGTCTCTTATCTGCTGGTGATATTTTTCTTCTTTTCTTCTCTATGCTTCAATACGGGTACTTTCTTCTTCCAATTCATTCTCTCTCTTCAGCTAAGTCTTATCTGCTGCTAAATTCATCTCCTAGGTTCTTGTTGGTGGTGGTGGTGTTTTGTGCCGTGGAGTCGGTTCCGACCCATAGTGACCCTGTATAGGGTTTCCGAGGCTGTAAATCTTTACGGGAGCAGAAAGCCTCATCTTTCTCCCGCGGAACAGCTGGTAGTTTTGAACTGCTGACCTTGCGGCTCGCAGCCCGATTTGTAACCACTACGTTACTTAGGTTCTTAAGTTATTGTATTTTCGTTTCTTGAATTTCTATTAGATTATTTCTCATTTGTTATCCTATCAATTTCTTGAACATATTGATCATAATTATTTTTCAGTTCATGTCTAATTATTCTAATATCTGCTGTCTTATGGGCATGTTTTTTGTTGTATATCTTGTCTACATGTCTGGCTATCCTTTTTGAATGGTGGAGAGCATGCATGAAATTCTGTAGAGATGATTTAAGACTCTGAATCACCATTCAGCTTCCTCCAGAGAGGATTTATCTTACTTCTAGGAGGAACTTCAGATAGTGACAAACCAACTCCATCTGTGAGAATTCAGCTGATTCAGAACTGAACCTTTGTGAGGGGGTGTTGTTGTGAAGTGCCGCGGAGTCAATTCTGACCCATAACGACCGTGTATAGGGTTTCCAAGGAGCAGCTGGTGAACTTAAACCATCAACCTTGCAGTTCAAACAACTTTGCAGTCTGACGCATTAGCCCACAGCGCCACACACCAGGAGGGCCTACCAGAAATGACAGTGTGAAAGCCTAAGGTGTTTGCCAGTGTCTTCCTCTGTGGTAGATTCTGAACTCTAATTTCTGTTTCCTTAATCCCTATGGTGCTGCGGGTTAATGCATGGGGTGGCAAGGTTGGTTTGAACCAGCCACTCCTTGGAAACCCTACACAGGGTGGCTATGAGTCAGAACCAACTCAACAGCACTTAACAACAACAACAACAATCCCTAGTATAGAGTCTTGGTGTGGTGTTGTAGGATCAGTATTGGACTGTTGACCACAAGGTTTGCAGTTCAAATCCATCAGCCGTTACTCAGAAATCCCATGCTGAGTTCTATGAGTTGAAACCAACTCGATGGCACTTAACAACAATGACAATCTCTAGTCCTGGTGTGGCGCTGTAGGGTAACTACTGGACTGCTAACCAGCGATTCAAACCCACCAGTCACTCCTCAGAAACCCTACACAGGGTCTCTGTGAGTCACAATTGACTGGACTATATTTAACAACTACAACAACAATCCCACAAAGGATTGGTGCACACAGTTAGCACACTTGGCTCCTCGCATAGAAGGTTGGCAGTAAGAACACACCAGAGGTACCTCAAAAGAAAGACCAGGCAATCTACTTCTGAAGAAATAAGCTCATGAAAACCCTACAGAACGTAACTCTACTCTGATACATTGTTGTTGTTAGGTGCCATCGAGTCAGTACCGATGCACAGCAACCCTACGCACAACAGAACAAAACTGCTGCCCAGTCCTGGGCCAACCTCACAATCGTTGCTTTATTTGAGCCCATTGCTGTACCCACTGTGCCAATCCATCTCACTGGGGGTCTTCCTCTTTTTCTGTGACCCTTCACCTTACCTAACAGGATATCCTTCTCCAGAAACTCATCCCTCCTGACGATATGTCCAAAGTATGAGACATGAAGTTTGGCCATCTTGACCTCCAAGGAGCACTCTGGCTGCACTTCTTCCAACACGGATCTGTTGGTTCTTTTGGCAGCCCATGGCACTTTCAATATTCTCCTCCAACACCATAACTCAAATGCATCAATTCTTTTACGGTCTTCCTTATTCACTGTCCAGCTTTCACATGCATATGAGGTTATTGAAAATACCATGGCTTGGGTCAGGCGCACCTTAGTCCTCAAGCTGACATCTTTGCTCTTCAACACTTTAAAGAGGTCTTGTGCAGCAAATCTACCTAAACTCTGATACTTATGAGTCACAACTGACTCAGTGGTAACTGGCCAATCCCATGACACCGCCAAAGCTCTATTCAGTCTTTCAGCCTCTCAGCAATTCCCTCAAGTTATAGAAGAAAACGCCAAACCACCCTGCTAGACCAAAGATTTTGTTTTTATAATCTGAAGTCCCTATGATTCTGTTGTTGGTAAGTACTGTCAAGTCAGATACAATTTATAGAGGGGTCCTGTATGGGATTTCCGAGGAGTGACTGTTGGATTTGAACCGCCGATCTTGTGGTTAGCAGTCCAGTGCTGATCTACTGCACCACACTCCAGGACAGAGATAGGAACTCGTGGTAAACTCAAGATTTCAGTTTGGATGTGTTCATTTGTCTTAAAAAAAAAAAAATCAAGTGGATACGTTTTGTAAGCAGCTACACAATATGCATTTGAAATTTTGGAGAGGGTTTTGTAAAGTGAAAAGACAGCAAAAAGAACCAAGGACTGATTCTAAACTCCTGGTGAAATCAGTGGTATAGACGATGGGTCTCCACTTCTTACTGCTGCTATGACAGACACGCCACAGTGGTGGCTTTGGGAGGTGGGACTCTAGGGGAAGGCTTGTCTCCTTCAGCGTCTTTCCCTCAGTTCCTTGGCTGTCTCCACGTGGCAACATTCCTTCTCCATCTGTGCTTCCTTGTTTCTGTGCCTGAACAGCTCCTGGAATATCTCAGATCACACTGCACTGATAGGTCCTCACAGAGCAGAGAAAGCCCCATTACCAATGGGGTTGTCTCCACAGGTATAGGAGTTAGGACACCTGCACGTATTCGTTGTTGTTAAGTGCCATTGAGTCGGCTCTGACCCATAGCAGCCCAGCATAGGGTTTCCGAGGAGCAACTGGTGAGCTTGAACCACCGACCTTGCGGTTCAAACTGATATTGCAGTGCAGAGCATTAACTCCCAGCACCACACCAGCACATATCTGAGGGGACCTAATTCAATCCAATAAACAACGTTCTTATCAATGGAGAAAAGATTGACTCCATTTTTCTTGGTTCAACCATCAACACTCATAGAAGCAGCAGTCAAGAAATCAAACAACATATTGCATTGGGCAAATCTGCTGCACATGACTTCTTTAAAGTGTTGAAGAACAAAGATGTCACCTTGAGGACTAAGGTGAGCCTGACCCAAGCCATGGTATTTCCAATAACCTCATATACATGTGAAAGCTGGACAGTGAATAAGGAAGACCGTAGAAGAATTGATGCTTTTGAGTTATGGTGTTGGAGGAGATTATTGAAAGTGCCATGGGCTGCCAAAAGAACCAACAGATCTGTGTTGGAAGAAGTACAGCCAGAGTGCTCCTTGGAGGCCAGGATGGCCAAACTTCATCTTTCATACTTCACACATATTGTCAGGAGGGACCAGTTGCTGGAGAAGGATATCATGTTTGGTAAGGTGGAGGGTCAGAGAAAAAGAGGAAGACCCCCAGCGAGATGGATTGGCAAAGTGGCAGCATCGATGGACTCAAGTGTGGCAACAAATTGTGAGGTTGGCCCAGGATCGGGCAGTGTTTCCTTCTGTTGTGCATAGGGTCGCTATGAGTCGGTACCGACTTGATGGCACCTAACAACAACAACAACAATCCAATCCATAACCGATGGACAGAAGAGAGAGGGGTGATTCCAAACGATTACCTTCTTAGACTGAACCCCTGTCGGCACAGTTATTTGGGGGAGTTTCTTATAGCTTGGTGTCTCAGCTAATATTGCTGTAACAGAAATAACACCAGTGTGTGTCTTTAACAACTAGAATTGTATTCTCTCAAAATTTAGGAGACTAGAAGTTCAAAATCAGAGTGCTGGCTCAAGGGGATGACTTTCTTTCTGTCCGCTCTGGGGGAATGTCCTTGTCTTCTTTTAGCATCTGTGGGCCCAGCATTCCCTGGAGATCTCCTTGTGTCTTGGCATCAGTCTTTCCCTGGGTCTAGGAGGTTCTCAGCATACGGACGCTGGGTCTACAGATGCACTCCAGTCCTAGCTCTTCTTTCTTGATGATACTGAGCTTCCTCTAATCATTCCTTACTTGTTTAAACTCTTTTATATCTCCAAAGATTATTGAATCCAGGTACAACCTAATCCTGGAGATTGTACCCTGCCTCATTCACAAAACTGCCATTAACCCTGCCTCATCAACATCTTAGCCCTTAGCCACCAGGATTTACAACACAGAAGATCCCAAAATGGAGAATCATTACATAACAGTGATGCTGAGAATCTTGGCTTTGCCAAGGTGACACACATTCTGACGGGACACAGTTGAATCCAGGAGAATTGACTCGTCTCCCACACCCACTTTCCCCAAAGGTCCACCCGCTGCATCCTGCAGAGCCACAAGCTGCTCTTGCACTCCGTGCTCCGCAGACTGGCCCTCCGCAGTTGCGCCGTCACCACCCTGGCCCAGATGAGGCTGTCTGGGAAGAAGACCTTGCTCTTGGAGCTCCGTGAGCAGCATGTTCTGGAGCAGGACTCCTCCCAGTGTGTGGACGAACTCCAATGGCAGCTGCTAAAAGCCCTGGTAAGGACAGACGGTGCCCCTTCCCCGCTGGACCGTGCTGACCAGCGCCCGGAGTCCTGTCCCAGTGCTGATGTAACGTGGGGACATCCTGTGTACCTGAAGCTTCTTAGTCTGAGCAATATAGTGAGAATTGTAGAAAATCTGTACTAGATTCGGTTGTTGTGGGGGCTGAGGGTAATGGTCCCACGATCTATTTAAAGTCCTGTTGTTGTTAGGTGTTGTCAAGCTGGTTCTAACAATTACCCTACGCACAACAGGACGAAACAGCGCCCAGTCCTGTGCCAGCCTTACAGTGGTTATGTGTGAATCCAGAGTGGTGACACAAGTTGTTAAGTGCTTGACTACTAACCAGGAGGTCGGCAGTTCAAACCCACCCAGGGGCACCTCAGAAGACAGGCTTGACAGTCTGAGTTAGGAGGGTCACAGCTTTAAAAACTCAGCATACAAGGCTGCTATGAGTTGACACCCATTGTTCTTGGCATCCATGGATGGTGCAAATAGTTTAATGAAATGGGCTAGTGGCTGAAAAGTTGGAGGTTCAAATCCACCAAAGGGTATCTGACAATCCGCGTCCAAAAAATATCAGCCATTCAAAACCCCATGGCGCTCATTTGTACTCTGATACACATGGTGTTGGAACCCACACAGCAGCAACTGGCTAATCTGTTTGAAGGTTTTAACCCACATGAGGAAAGACTTTATAAATGTGCATTTGAAATTTAATCCCGAGTAGGCAGACTTCTGCACAGAGCATTAGACTGTAGGAGCAGCCAGAGGTTTTTGACCCACCAGTGAGAAACAAGGAGACTTGGAGGTGCCATGGGTTAGGTGTTGGGCTGCTGACTGGAAGGTCGGTGGTTCAAACCCACCAGCCACTCCACAGAAGAGAGATAAGGCAGTCTGCTCTGTAAAGATTTGTTGTTATTGTTAAGTGCCGTCCTGTTGGTTTTGACTCATGGTGACCCTTTATTGGGTTTTCATGGCTGTGTATCTTTGAGTGAGTAAAAAGCTTCATCTTTCTCCCATGGAGCAGCTGGTGGGCTTGGACAGCCAACCTTCTGGTTGGCAGTCCAGTGCTTATTTTATAGCACCACACCAGTCCCCTCTGTAAAGATTTACACCCTAGGAAAGGTGATGGAGCAGGTCTACTCTGATATTTACACCCTAGGAAAG